GGTGCTGGGTCTTTCATTCTGCCCAACTGCTTAGGGACTTAGCCCTTGGAGGAGAGATTTGCCATGTCCTCTCTCTGGAGTTCTCTCTCTCTATGCTTGCTTTAACTACACAAGTCAGTGTCCTGTTTATGAGCAAATGCAGATGCGGTTGCTGGCTTTGCTACCTGCAGCACTGGTGCAATTAGTGGATAAGGCGTCATCAGCACTGGGACTACAAGTGCTGGGACTGTCAATGTCAAGGCTATTGGCACAGAGGTCTCATGAACCAGGGACTTTGACAATACTGAAGTGGTTGGCATTAATATTGCTGATTCTGCCAGAGCCTTCTTCACTTTCTTTCCCCTGCCAGATCCCAGTGCGTGAAGAGTGCTCGGCGGGAGCGCTGGCCGACAATGGTTAATCCAGCCTCACTTTAGTCAGATCCAAAGGTGACTGTTATGAAGTAACCCACGCGGACTGCTCAAGTAAATGCATCTTGCGCCACATGTCCCTGGATCTGCAGAAGGGCTTACACCACAAGGACTTAGAAAGGATGTGGTTGTCTCATAGGCAGAAGAGGCATCGTCTGTGTGTATCCTCGATGGGAATGAGTCCATCACAGGATGAGCAGGAAGAACTGCACTCTGCCATGAGGTGTGGCAGTTAGGATGAACTGCCACACCTCATTCCACTGTTGTACAGAGGGGTCATACAGTGGGGGGAGACAATCAATTTTTTTTAATGTCTTATGAGAAAAAAGGGAGGATAGATTTCACACCAAATAAGTTGTAAAAGCCTGGTTTAGGGTCTCTGAAGAGAGCAGTGGGTCGGACATAAGCTGAATTCTGTCTTACTGCCATGGGTGGTAAAAGAGAACTGAGGGAGGATCGCGGCTGTGCTGATTTTTAATTCTACTAGGCAAGTTTAATAAGCAAATCTGATCTCAAGTGAGCTATCTGAGACTGAACCTGAATGGAATTCTCATTCATGGCAACAACCTAATTTAGAGTTAAAAGATTTTACATCAGGCAAACATTAACGGCTAGATTTCCATGAGTGCCCATCACTCAGCAACTCACATTGCAAGAGACCACAATAAGGCACAGGGTGAACAAATGCCTCCAACAGACACTACTAGTGAAAAAAAAAATCTAATCTCGTGCATGAGGTGCACATGCACCTACAATGGGATCCATGCTGACACATACTTAAAGAAGTAGCTCTCTTTCTGCAGAAGTTTACACTTGCCCAGGAAAAATTTCGACTTGCCCTGAGGTAGTACATTTTTCAATTCCTGTTTAAAAGCATCACTCCTAAATTGTCTGCTCTAAGATGTACACCATACCATTATGTGAAATTTACTCCCTAGGGCGTGGAGGTCTGAATAGCAGGGAGGAAAGTCTGAGGGATATACTTAAAACGATATTTACAGTGAAAACTGAAGATTTATTTTGTCAGGTTTTTATTAGTAAACAAACAAAAAAATAAAACATAAAACCAGTTACTACACTTTAAAGGGCCACTGTCAAGCAAGATGTTAGGTGTATAAGTTTTGTAAAAGCTTACTAATTACGACATCAAGAAATATTTCCATTAATTCTTTAATTCTAATGGCAACTGGTTTAATCTGAACAAATAAGAATTCCTCTGCACTGTTGGCAACATTTCAACGCTTAGGGTTCTCTTCATGCAAAATTCCACCAATTACATAAAGGTATGAATAAAAATCACTTTAGTCAAAGAGGTTCAAAAGGTCATGTGGACTCTTAAAATACTAAATTAATATTAGCCAGATTTTATAGCGCAAGTCAATTAGGAACAGGTTTAACACAAAACAAGAGATTGTCTACACAGCCTTTTGCACTGGTTTAAAAACTGATTTAGTTAAACCAGTATAACCTGTGTTTAAATAAGGCTTTAATGAAGGAAAATCTGAAAGTTAAACTGATCAGACAATAGTCTGTTTCCTTTTTGTTTCTCTCTGCTGCAATAATACATAAAGCAATTCTGAAAAATTGTGCTTACAGGATGCTTGTGCTGCTCGTAAGGATTTTTTTTTTTAACTATAATTTGACCTGACCAAACTCTTTTAAAAACTGATAAAGAAGTGACAAAACTCCCATGATATATGAATCTTAAATTCTTTACCATATTCACTGGTGCAAAATTAACCAAAAAATAATGCTACCAAAAAAGATTTTCTTTTCCTTACAGAGACTGAAATATGACAAAAAAAATTAATGGCTAATATTGTATGCCAACTGGGTACCACAAAGTGAACACTTTAGAAAGAAAATGCACTTTGTTTCTACAAGTGTATTCTGTATATAGAAAAACTTCTGTAGAAAAACAAACTTCAAAGTGTTGATGCCTCTACTGCACATTTAATGTACAAATGAGAGAACTATAAAACTAATCATACATTTGCTGTTAATATTAAATGTTCTACGCTAGTATAGTCACAATCCTTGAGTAAATACCTACTACTTAACATGGAAAACTTACACATGGTGAATTGGTGAGACCTGTACTTGACACTTTCTTTTAATATATGTAGACTGAGTACCTTCTTTAACACTGATTTTTAATTCTACTAGGCAAGTTTAATAAGCAAATCTGATCTCAAGTGAGCTATCTGAGACTGAACCTGAATGGAATTCTCATTCATGGCAACAACCTAATTTAGAGTTAAAAGATTTTACATCACGCAAACATTAACGGCTAGATTTCCATGAGTGCCCATCACTCAGCAACTCACATTGAATTATTTTTGGGGGGAGGGGAGCAGGGAGGATGCACTGAACACTTCTGAAAATGTGGCCACAAAAGTTTCCAAGTGTAGTTTAACTATAAAGCACAAATGCAATGCTATTTATACAGAAGTTAATGCCACTCACACTTGCCAAGGAAAAATCTCTACTTGCCTTGATGTAGTGGCGTCTTCACGGTATTGAGTGCTCTGAGAGTAAGCCAAATTCTTCTAACTTAAAGTATATTAGAGAAGAAAAAGAATTTCTGCATGCATTCATACACCAACTCCAAATTTAAAAGTCAATTTTTAACGCAGAATACAATTTGTAGGCAAACTGGTGATTTTATTAGCTACCCTCTCCCCCCCCCGCACCCAACCCCCCCCCCAAAAATAGTCAACATACCCTACACTTCCGTAAAAGCGCACAGGAGTAGAAACTCCACTGAACTTTACTTTCTATCCCACTTTGGTATTTAAAGATATTAGGCTAAACTAACATGTCACAGTTAACATAGACAGGGCCTTCGCACTGATGCAAATATTTCTCTGTAGGTACCCCAGTGCAAACTCCGTGTAAGCTGGCTACAGGAATGCAAAACGGGGGCTTACACTAGTTTACTTCAGTATGTTACCATATTAAGCTAAACTTGTTTAAACACCACTTTATGCTAGTGTAGCCCATCCATACCGTAACAGGTGCCAAGCTTCATGGTTTTAGTAAGTTGTTTAGTAAGTAAGCAGTTTCAAGGGATGTCTTCTCTCCCTACCCCCAAATCTTTCCTAAAAATAACTTTAAATCAAGCATTTAATATTAATTACAGCTGGCATTACCTGATTAGAAAGTTATAACTTGCAATCAATGTATTTCTCTCATTGACATTTTCCCTTTCAAGCATTAGATATTCCCTCAAAATACTACTACTTCCAAACTAGAGTTAAGCAAATGTTCTGGCTAAAAAATTCCATTTTAAAAGCAAGTTCATTGGATACAGTAGTAAAGTTTAGTATGAAGACCGAACAACTACAGCCTTGCCAGTTCTCACTCATGTCCACTATTCCATGCAACTTTTCAAAATAATTTTGATGTACACAATAAATCTATTGTAAATTGTCTAAGTTATCAAAGCTCTTAAGACCCATACTTGGTTGAAGTTACTGATTTTCTTGAAAGTTATTTTCACATACTGTGGACCTACAAACAGTGCATAAAAAGCCCCTCAAATTCACTTCATATCCACCAATCAAGAATTCTAGAAAGCCAAGAGTTATTTTCAAGGCATAGATAGCACTGTACACAATGAGCATGTTGACTTCATGTATCTTTTAAAAACGTAGTTGCTAAGTACTATCTTGGATGTGATGAGAACACACATTTAGGCAACATTAAAGGTCACAGCAGGCAAGCACTTACTACTGAGCCTGGTGCTTACCACCATGAATAATTCCACTGAAGTTAATCCAACTCTCAGCAGCATTACAAACGGCATGTTTGTTCAGCATGTTCAGGTCCCACGGTTGGACGTTTGAACACAAGAACACCAGCTCGTTGAAACAGTATTGTTTCCAAAGCCACACTAATTGCTCCGCTATATACGTAGTTGCATGATGTTACATCTTTCACAGTCTAGCTGATTATGCACGTTGCATATGCAGCCTAAATGGATGTTGCCAATGGAGCTCCCCGCGCATCCTGACTTTGTACTTTACATTGACAACTTCACGGTTCCAGCCTGACAGGATTGAACCTCTATGTGCAACGCTGCGGCTTCGCGCAGTCCTTATGTAACCCGCCACACCGCACGCACGCAGGGCACAAGCTCAGGTTTACAACTGCACGTGAGCACTGGAAACCCCTCGCCAGCCCTGCCGCCCCCAGGAGCTCGCCCGCTCCCCTTTGTGGCGGGGGGCAGGCGGAGCCCAGCCCGGGCACGCAGTGGGGGCCGTGGGGGCCCGGGCGCCGCCAAGGGCGAGCGGGGGAAGTTACGGACCCCGCAGGCCGGGGAGAACGGCCCGGCCGCAGCCTGCGCCCCCTGCCCAGGGCGCGGCGGCAAAGCAGCGCGGGGATGCTGCCCGGGCGGGGCGGGCAGCCGCGGGCCGGCCCCGCTTTCCTGGAGCCCGAGCCGGGGGCACCGCAGTCCCCTCCCGCCCGGGCACACGAGCCGCGGGGCCGCTCGCACAAACTTCTCCGGGCCGCGGGGGAACCCGCCCGGCCCCGTCACGCGCCGTTGCCGCGACCCCGGGCCGGCCCGCGCGGAGCCGGGATTTCTACCTGCGACACCAGCGGGACCAGCGTCTGCTCCACCGAGCGCGTGCGGATCTCCAGCGCCGCCTCCGCGCCCAGCCCCGCCGACGACGCGGAGGAGACGCCGCTGCTGCTGCACGGGGACGTGGCCATGGCGGGAGCGGGAGCCGCAGCCGCAGCCGGACCGGCTCCGTGGCGCCTCCCCCGGCCCGCAGCGCGCTAGTCTCCCGCCGACACCGCTGCGGCCCCGGAGCCCGCCCCGAGCCCCGCCCCCGGCCCGGCAGCCAGCCCGAGTCGGGGGCCGGGCCGGGCAGGAGCCGCGCCGGCTGCGCACATCGCCCCCTAGCGGGGCCGGGCCGGAGCCGGATCGTGAACACCTGCCCTCGCCCCGGGACGCAGCCCCCGGTGAGTGGCAAGTCCCCGCGGCCTGTCGGGCTCTCCCGCGCTCCCGGCTATAGCTGCCCCCACCCAGGCGCGCCGCGGCTGCCAGCCAGAGCCTCCGCACGTTTCCCGACATTGGCCCCTGGAAAACAAACCCAGTCACAGCTACCGGCCCGTCCTCCCCCCACCCCGCGCTCCTGCTCCTAGCGCTGGAATAATTTGGGAACAGGACACTGCCGCCGTCCCCTCCACGTGCTGCACACATGCCATCCTGGCTCTTCTCCGCTCGAGCTGCTCCCAATCAGCTCTTTCCCCGCCTTGTACCGCGCCGGTCTCCCACACCCCAGTTTTCCGCCGTGCCTTGAACTTTTCTTGGCAGGGCCGGAGCTCCCGTTCAGCGCCGTGTGCCAGTTCTCTTCCTCAGCGAGCCAGGCCCATCTCCACACAGCTACAAAGCTGGCTGCCCAGGAAGCCGGGGGGTTGTTGGAGGTCAAGCTTTGCTGCCCCATCAACCACTTAGGAGACTCTCTGCCTCCTCATTTTACACACAGGGGAGAGTGAACAGCTGGGTCTCCGGAAGCTGCAAAGTTTGTTTTTGGGGGGGGGAATTCTGGTAGTCAACCAAAAATCCAGAGGTGCTGGTGAGGTGTGAGCCAGAGAGCTAGCCCCAAAGCTAGTTCCCCACTGAAGGCAAGTGGGTCTGGGATTCACATGTTTTATCCTGCTTCACAACCTCCCTGGAAAAAACACGGACCAGTTGGAGCAGGTTTAATGTCTTGAAGGGAGAAACATCCCACAGTCTCTGTCCTTACAGCAGCACTGCCTTGAAGTAATAAGCCCCCCACCTGCCATTCCAGGGATTCCTTCCTCTACCTCGGTGGTTCTCAACCTGTGGCCCAGTCAGCACAGAGCTGTGGCCCATGTGATAACCTCCAGGCCATACAGGTAGTATTGGATGTTACCCACATGATGCATTTTGGGCCGCATATGTGGCACACAGTGGTAAATAGGTTGAGAACCACTGCTCTACCTAGAACATATGTTGTTGATTTGCAAATCAACAATTTGAGGAAATGTCCTATACACTCCCTATTTTGGTGGCAGAATAGACGAGCTTCATGCTTAGTTTGACTCACCTCATCACATTGCATTATGATCTACTGGAACTATCCTAGAAAAAATATTCGAACCAAAAAACCTCACTTGCTCACCCAATATGGTTGTTTATAGCACATTAAGAAATCCTGGAAAACAATCTGTACTTTAATATGTAAAGGTTTTGCATTGTCATTGGCCTTTGAAATCAAACAACTTACAAATGTTTTTAGTGTCATTTACACAATACTGAAAGTTATTTTACTGCTAAGGGAGTCAAGATTTAGTTGGCCTACTTAGATTTTTAATAAAAAGAGAAAATTGCTAGAGCTGCAGATCTAACCCTAGATAAAGCCATGACCCTATTCTTATTAACTCAGGAAATTGGATTCCATCCCCATCCAATATTGTATCTTCCAAAGTGACATCCATTGTACAACATCAAGTGTTACAAGGAAGATATTTGCTTGTCCAGAAGGTGGAAATATCTCATAGCACAAGTTTAAATGAGCTATACCTTCTTAAATTAAAAGTCAATCATGTTTATGCAACTAGCTCTAAATACTGCTGAGACTTCTATTTTTCTGTTAATCCTAGACTGTAAGCTTTTTGGGGCAGAGCCAGTCTTCTTTGTTACTTGTTAGTACAGTCCCTAAAATAGTGAGGTCCTGGTGCTTGAATGTATTTCCTAGGCACTACCATAATATAAACCACATAAAATCTACATTTTACATCTAACATGGCACAATACACCCACACCCAGTTTAGACTTGTCTAGCCGCACCAAAATGTATGTTAGTGTTAGCTGCTGCTGCACCATATCTTCAGTGTTGAAAAAGACTGAGGCTCAACGTTTTCCAAGTTGGATGTAGTTTCCAGATCAGACACAGGATAAGTAAAACGTTCAGCTCTGAGATGAGACAAGAGAAATAGTACAGCATAATGTCAATTTTAAATAAAAATGTCTCCTGAAAAAAATTCTCTGTGACCCATTTTTAGATATCACACACACACACACACACACACACACACACACACACACACACAACAAC